AATACTGCACCACAGAGAACTTGCCCAAGGTCCCAAACTAATAAAGTATAACAGCCTGGAGTCAAACCCTAACAACCTGACTCTTCCACTTATGCTCTTTCTTTTTTTTTTTTTTTAAAGATTTACTTATTTATTCATTCAAAGAGAGCGAAGAGAGAGGCAGAGACACAGGCAGAGGGAGAAGCAGGCTCCCCGCAGGAAGCCGGATGTGGGACTCGATCCCGGGTCTCCAGGATCACACCCCGGGCTGCAGGCGGCGCTAAACCGCTGCGCCACCGGGGCTGCCCCAGTTATACTCTTTCTTAACCATTATGCTATACTGCCTCCGAGGAGGAAGACTGTGGGACGTGGGGGATATGGAGTGGTCTGTGTGTGTACATGTGTGTGTGTAAGAGGGGGAGCAGTGAGAGTACATTGTTTATACCTTATTCACTAATAACAGACACAACTGATATTCTTACATCTGACTCACTTTGCAGAAATGAGTTCACAAGCCAACAGAATGGAAAAAGAGAGAAAATGCACAGGATAGGCAGGTGGGAAACCTCACAGAATGAGTAAATACTTCATTTTAAAATGCATTACTAAGGGCATCTGGGTGGCTCAGTCAGTTGGGTGTCCGCCTTCAGCTCAGGTCATCATCCCAGGGTCCTGGGATTGAGCCCCAGGGAGCCTGCTTCTCCCTCTCTTCTCTGCTTGGGCTCTCTCTCACTATCTCTGCCTCTCTCTAAAATAAATAAATAGAATCTTTAAGAATAAAATAAGGTGCATTATTATTTTTACTTGGTATTGGGCATATTGATCCAAATCAGAAATAATTTTAACTACTGTCCACTCAAAAATAAATTCAGGAAAGGTATTATCATACAATAGAGACAGGCACATAGCTTCTGCAATTTTTTTCTTTTAATCAGGTGCCCTCTAAAACTGAAGTGATAGACTGGCTTCATGATTCTTCTTATAAAATCAACTTCAAATTAGATGAGCCTTACATAAGATTCAACGTGTAATATTTCCAACTTTTATTTTTGGCTTGTTATTTAGATTTATTTCAGGGATATAATGCTTCAAGTGTGAAATGAATGGTACTACTTATAAAATGCACTTTAAGAGTTACCAATGATTCCTAATGAAATTAAGGCATCCATATGAAACAAAAATGAAACCTTATTATCAGGGTGGGACACAGCTCTACCTTGCTGTCACCCAAAACCTTGTCCTTTCCTCCATGCACTTCTTTAGTCCCTTCTATCTACTGAAATCCCATTCACCCTTAAAGGCCTGCCTCACATACTCTAGCTTCAAGCGATCTTTATGGGCTTAGGAATCAAACAGAATAGACTTTTATTCCTGGCTCTATTCCTTGGGCTAAGTCATAGATACCTTCAACTCTGTTAATTTCATCTGCCAAATGGGAACAATAATTTTTTTTTCATCAGGTTCAGAGGCATACGTGAAATTACAACCAGTAAGCAAATGAGACTCAAAAGGATTCAGTAATTTGCTCAACACTACATACCTAATCGACAGAAAAACAGGAATTTTAATTCAGATAAACCTGACTCTATGCCTATGATCTTTCCGTCAGACAATCACTCTCATAAGCAGAGAAAATACCAAGAATTCAGCCTAACATCTCACTTAAGAGAGGCAGGAGAGCTGAAGGAAGCCAGCATCGGGCTCCAGCTCCACTCTCTCCTAAATTTGTGACCTTGAACAAGTTACTTAACCCTTCTGTGCCTCAATTTTTCTCATCTGTACAATGAAGATAAAAACAGTACTCATCTCTAAAGTTAAGAGGATTAACGAAGTAAAATGAAAAGCATTTAAGACAGTACCTGACACATAAAAAAAGCTCTCTATAAATGTTACCAGCTACTAACATAAAAGTGAAATTTGGCCTTCAGACCACTGAGTTATAGCCCCTAGAACATGAGACCTACTACCTGAGTTAGGCACTGGAGGATGAAAAGAAGTTTGTGAAAGGTAGAAGTAAAAGAAAACCCAGTCAGTGGGAACGGCATCAACAGTGGTTCAGGTAAATAAAGATATTCAAGGAACAAGGCATAGTGCTGGGAAATGGGCGGCAGGTGGCCTTAGATGAGGCTGAACTAGTTTCAGTGCTGCTACTTCCTTCAAAGACAGGTGAGAACCCACAACCTCACTCATGCCAATAGGTTACTTCTCGGTTTCCTTTCCACATGCAAAGATACATCAATAGACAATTTATGAAGGAACATTATTTAACTTTCGTGTGCCATTACTTCATTTAGTATTTAATGAGCACTTACTGTCTGCCAGGCGCTGATGTAGAGGACACAGACACAGCAACGCACAAAGCAACAACGCGCATGCCCACATTCCAGTACGAGACAGGCAAAAGCATAAAATGTCAGGTAGGAGAAGAAAGTAGGCTAAGTGGTGAAAGCACAATGGGGGGATGGTAGATATTTTAAATGGGGTGGTCAGGTGGGGCCTCTGAGACATTTGACAAGCCATCCAAATGAAGAAAGAGCAAGCAAGTCAGGGTCTCAGAAACATTCTACGGACAGCAGTCCTGACACACAAACGTGTAAGGTCAATGCAGCTGGAGCACAGGGACTGCGCCGGAGTGACTGTAACTGGAGGGGGGGGGGGGGACATTGAGCAGATCAAGTACGCCTTTTGGTCAAAGTTAAAGACTCTGGGGTTTGGGAAGCCATTGGGGAATTTGGAGCAGGGGAGCTTCATGGTCTTAAGTTTCAGAGGGCTCATTCCTTTGTTGCGTGGGGAAAAAAATTCTGTTAACAAAGGCAAACGTGGAAACAAGCAGACAGCAGTTAGGGAACTACTGCAGTACCCTAGATGAGATGATGCTGGCTTAGAGTGGTGGTGGATGTGGATCCGAATCCTACAGGATTAGATAATCGGATGGAATGTGGAGACAGAAAGATAAGATTCAAGCAAAGAGGACTTCAAGTGGTGGTGCCATTTATTAAGGTGGGGAAACACCAGGACAGGAGCAGGTTCAGGAATATGCCAGGAGAGTGGGGGAATCAACACCTCACTTTTGGACATGTTAAACTGGAGGTGCCTATCAGACATCCAAATAGAACTGCTGATGAGACAGCAGAATGTAGTAGTCTAAAGTTCAGAGTTGATACCAGAGCTAAAGATACAACTTTCAAGGTCATCAGCATACATGACATTAAGTTATAAATGAGATCCCCTGGCAAGTGCAAATGGATAAAAAAGCAAAGAAGTTAGAAGACCGAGCTTTGGACACATATTAGAATATTAAAAGGCATTTCTATTGATTTATACAGATTTTTTTAAGATATTTATTTATTATGTATTTATTTACTTATTTATTTATTTAGAGAGAGAGAGAGAGAGAGAGAGAGAGAGAGAGAGGGAGGCAGAGACACAGGCAGAGGGAGAAGCAGACTCTACGCAGGGAACCCGATGCGGGACTTGATCCCGGGCCCCCCACACCCCGGGCTGCAGACAGCGCTAAACCGCTGTGCCACTGGGGCTGCCCGATTTATACAGATTTCAAGAGAAATACCATTATTTTTTTTTATTTTAAAAACACATCATGTAAAAAAAAAAAAAAACTACAGTTAAGACAAGAGTTTTCTATTGAACTATTTTCCAGGGAATTGGGCCTTTCCTAGGTCTCACCTATACTACTGCTTTTGCCCAGATTTAAAGGAGTACACTACAGCAGGAAGATCATCAGGCAACCAGGAAGTTTAAGAATTGGAAGTCCTGGTTCTTCGTCCCTCCCCATCAAGTGACCCTGTGCAAACCATTCCACCTTCCCTGTGTACACATTTCCTCATGAAGACAATAAAACCAGCCTTCCGGGGCGCGCCTGGGTGGCTCAGTTGGTTGGGTGTTAGTTAGCCTTCCGCTCAGGCTCAGATCATGATCCCATGGTCCTCAGATAGAGCCCCGTGTCGGGCTCCCTGCTCAGCCTAGAGTGCGTCTCCTTCTCCCCCTTCTCTCCCCCTACTCATGATCTCTCTCTCAAATAAACAAATAATATCTTAAAAAAAAAAAAAAAAAGCCTTGCTCACATGCCTTAAATGAGGGTCAAGAGCAGAGAGTTCCTGCCTACTAAAACACATATGCAAACACAGTATTCTAACATTTTAAGATCCAAGTCAATCTCGGGACGCCTGGGTGGCTCAGCCGTTGAGCGCCTGCCTTAGGCTCAGGCCATGACCCCAGAGTCCCGGGATGGAGTCCACATTGGGCTCTCCCTCTGCCTAGGTTTTGTCTCTTTGTATCTTTCATGAATAAATAAAATCTTTAAAAGAAAAGATACAAATCAATCTTTTCCTAAGAAGTCATTAGATACGCATCCACCTTCAGAAGCTTGGGAAAACGGATCCATGCGAATAACAACTCTTAGGTTAAATTTTCCCCATGCACAGGCTAAACTTTGATACCTGGCCACTTGGTGGTCAGTAAAGACTGACAAGGTCACATGTGCTAATCTACGTAACTATAAATGCTCCTAACAGAACCATACTTGAGTTTTGAACAGGAATGATTTACCTATGATTTTTCTGGAGGCAGATAATGACCACAAAAATATCGTTTCCAACCCCCCCCCCCAATAATTCTGGTAAGAGGTCGGGATGTGGGCGTTCATGTACGCAATACGCACCAATTCAAGAGTTGAGAGGAGGATTTTTATTTTGAGCAGCAAAGTCTGAAAAAAGTCAAGGATGCTCTGCAAAAGGATGACACCCATCACCCATACGTCTGCATCGAAAACAATGACAAATTCGGCAAACATCCACGGTGATCAAATATACCTCTGCAGGGATTTAAACGCCAGCATGAAAGAAATCCACTACCCCCCCCCCTTTTCTGGCCTCCTTCCTGCCCCTGTCTGATGCCCCCCAGAACTGATAAGCAGACTTCTCTGAACTTTTGAAAACCAGCCTTGGAGTCGAGCCATCACCCTGAATCCTATAAATGCTTTGGCAGCACGGCCGAGGTCTTCCCTAATCCCAGCTAACGGAGCCAAACTCACAATCAGGAGGGCACAGGAACTGCCTTCGGCTTCCCGTAAACCCCTGGGCCCGCACGAGGATCCCACCTCGGCAAGTCCTTGGGCTGCGCGCCGCTGACGGCACCCTCCCGCTCCCCGACTCCCACACGTGTGCTCTCGGCCCCGAACCCGGGGACACCCGCGGCCTCCACCCTCTCCCGCCCCAGCGCCCAGTGCAGCCCCCGACCCGCAGACCGGACCGCTCCGCGCCGCGCCGCGCAGGGGGGTCCACGCAGGGGGGCCGCGCGGGGGGGTCCACGAAGGTAAGTCCGCGCGGGGGGGTCCACGCAGGGGGGTCTGCGTGGGGGGGCCGCGCAGGGGGGCCGCGCGGGGGGGTCTGCGGGGGGGGGGGCCCGCCCTCTCCAGGGCCCGACGGCCCGGGCCGCTGCAGCCGACACGTCCCCACCGAGGCCCCCGAGCTGGCGCACGGCCCGGCGGGCCCGAGGCCCCCCCACATCCAGGTGAGGCCACCGCAGCCGCTCGGCGACCCCCATCCCGCCCCCGGCTGGGGCGCGCTCCCCGGCGGCATCTCCGCGAAAGGGAAGCGCGCGCGGGGCGGCTCCCCCGCCGGGGCCGGGGCCGTGGGAGCGCGCGGGGCGACCCCGGGGCGACCCCGGGCCCCGCGTCCCTCCCCGGGCGGGCGGGCGGGCGGGCGGGCGTGCCCCTCACCTCCTGGGGCGGCTCCGGCTCCGGCTGCCTGCGCGCGGCCACTCCTCGGCGTCCCGCGGCCGCTCCGAATATATACCCTCATCCGGGGGGCCGGGGCGGCGGGGCGGGCCGGGAGCGGGCCCGGGGAACGCGGCCCCGGCCACCCCGCCCCTCTCTCGCGGCGACGAGTGGCTGCCCGCGCCGGGAGGAGCCGCCGCCGCCCGGGCCACGTCAGCGCCACGTCAGCGCCGCGAGCGCCGGCGGCGCCGGGGGGCGGGGCCTCGCGCGTCACTCGTCCCCTGGCCCAATAGGGGGCGGCGCTGGATCCGCGGGAGGCCCCGCCCCTCGGCGCGCGGGGTGGGGGTGGGAGGGGGGAGGGGGAAGAGGAGCGGGGAGGGGGACAGGGAGGGGAGGGGAGGGGAGGGGAGGGGAGGGGAGGGGAGGGGAGGGGCAGGGGGGCGGGGCCCGTGAGCCCGCGTCCCTCGGGGCGGGCCGGCGCTGCTGGTGGTCCCGGGCCCGCGGCGGGGCGGGGAGCGGGGCCTGCGGGCTCGGGGTTTCCGAGCGGCCGCGCGCCAGCGGCCCCGCGGCGCCCGGTGACCAGGGGTGGCGTCGCGGGGCGGCCCGCTCCCCGCCGGGCCCCGACCGCCTTCCTGCTTTGTGGCGTCTTTGGTCCCGAGCGCGGGAAGCGCCCGTTGGCTTTTGCGCAAAAGCGAAGAAAGGCAGCGGCAGGTATTGGGTAACGAAAAGCGCGCCCCGGCGCGGACGCCGAGGTCCGTCGGTGGGACTCCTGCTTCCCCGGAATCCGACTCCCAGCGCGGGTGACCTCCCGGGCCTGCGCACGGCCGCCGTGTGTAGCCGCCCGCTGGTCGCCGTCCGTCCCGTGCGCACACGCTGCTTGCTCCGTACCGGGCCCTTAGAAGCGCGGTTCGCATTCTGAGCTGCGTTGGCTTTGCAGTTTTGCAAGAAGGTCAGTACGTTGGAATCAAGACCCCACCACCGAGATCCAACAAAGCACCTTCTATAAAGCATTTCACGGGGACGCCTGGGCGGCGCAGCGGTTTAGCAGCTGCCTTGGCCCAGGGTGTGATCCTGGAGTCCCAGGATGGAGTCTGGCATCAGGCTCCCTGCATGGGGCCTGCTTCTCCCTCTGCCTGTGTCTCTGCCTCTGTGTGTGCGTCTCATGAATAAATAAATGAAATCTGGGATCCCTGGATGGCGCAGCGGTTTGGCGCCTGCCTTGGCCCAGGGCGCGATCCTGGAGACCCGGGATCGAGTCCCACGTCGGGCTTCCGGTGCATGGAGCCTGCTGCTCCCTCTGCCTGTGTCTCTGCCCCTCTCCCTCTCTCTCTCTCTGTGTGATTATCATAAATAAATAAAAAAATTAATAAATAAATAGATAAATAAATAAATAAAATCTTAAAAAAAATTTCAGGCATTTTAGGTGCCTTTCTTCTAACCTTAAGTTACAAGAGCCTTTTTTCATTGACTTAAGCGATTGCAAAATCACCCACCGCATTAAGTGAACAGAAAAGTGTACACTTCATAAGTAATGCTGGTAGATTCATTTCAGGAGGTGGAATATTTTCCTTTTTTCATGATCCCAGAACTTCCCTGTTAAGAGCAGGGAATTTGAAAACAAAATTCCAGCTTTTTTATTGAGCATGATCTTTGGTAAGTTAATTCATGCATCAGTTTTTCTCATCTATACAATACAAGCAATAATAGAACAAACAATAAATGCCCTTGGGGTTGTGGTGAGGATGAAACCAGTTAATACGAGTAAAGGATGTAGAGCAGAATGAACACTAGTAAGCTTTAATTGTTGTTATGTGAGTGCTTATCCTATGTTAGGTGCTTTTCTAGGTCCTGGATACTTTGATATACTTATCACCATCTGGAAAGCATCTTGAGGTCGTTTGGATCGCATATACTGTAAGGAACATTTCTCTCAAATCCTTCATGACAATTGAGAAGAACAAATACACTCCCGGTTCTACTTAGACCTAGAAACCTGACCACGATATGTAACTGAATATAGCATTGTGACCTTTAATGAAAGGATGAGAATTTAAGACCTCTGCTTTCTTTTTTTTTTAAGATTTTATTTATTTATTCATTAGAGACAGAGACAGAGAGAGAGAGAGAGAGAGAGAGAGGCAGAGACACAGGCAGAGGGAGAAGCAGGCTCCATGCAGGGAAACCGACGCAGGACTCCATCCCGGGACTCCAGGATGGCGCCCTGGGCCAAAGGCGGCACTAAACCGCTGAGCCATCCAGGGATCCCCAGACCTTTGCTTTCCAAAAATATACTGATTGTTACTCTTCTGTGTTTCTACTCCCTGACAAATAAATATATGAGAGTTTAGAAAAATTCAAACAGGTAGATGCAGATTCAAAAATCACAGTTCAGCTTTAGAGGCTGTGTGTCCACTTAACTCTTACCTCAGTTTTCTCAGTATATAGTGAGGACAATACCTACTTCACATGGGTGTAGTACAAGTTAAATGAGAAAAAAATCTAAGTGTCTGGAGTATTAAAGGTATTCTATAAATCTTAGACAAATCAATGAATGAAAAGCAAAATATAATTAAAGAGTCCTTTAAATATAAAAGGTAGCACTGGGGCCCAGCACAAGTGTTTTCAATGGATCATTATAAAATCAAATTTTTACTTTTACCATTTGCTATATCTTTTTCTAGTTACTAGGCATAAGAAGGGCCTTAATCTCATCTTGCCAGATAAATATCCAGAAACTTGTTACACTAAAGAGTTATTTCTGTCATTTAAGGTATTTTTCATATGCAGTTGACCCTTGAACAAGCAGGTAGTTAGGAGCACTGACATCACACACAGTAAAAAATCCACATACAACTTTTGACTCCCCAGAAACTTAGCTAATAGCCCACTGCTGACCTGAAGCCTTACTGATAGCATGGTCAGCACATATTTTGTATGTTATACGTATTATAGACTGTATTCTTTTTTTTAAAAGATTTTATTTATTCATGAGAGACAGAAACATAGGCAGAGGGGAGCCTGATGTGGGTCTCGATTCCAGGACCCGGGGATCACAACCTGAGCCGAAGGCAGCTACTCAACCACTGAGCCACCCAGGTGCCCTTCTTATACTAAAGCTAAGAAAATGTTATTCAGAAAATCATGAGTGGGGCAGCCCAGGTGGCTCAGCGGTTTAGCGCCACCTTCGGCCCAGGATGTGATCCTGGGAACCAGGGATCGAGTCCCAAGTCAGGCTCCCTGCTCCCTGCATGGAGCCTGCTTCGCCCTCTGCCTGTGTCTCTGCATCTCTCTGTGTGTCTCTCATGAATAAATAAATAAAACCTTAAAAAAAAAAAAGAAAATCATGAGTAAGGGGAAATACATTACGCTACTGTTAACTGGATTTATTGAAAAAACCATGTGTATAAGCAGACCTGTGCAGCTCAAACCTGTGCTGTTCAAGATTCAATTGCATATGGTCGTTCAAGAGACAACGGCAGAGAGCAAGGCACGGAGCCCACTCTGTGATTATTTGACATTTCACTGAAAATATGAGCTAATGCAATGAGACAGGAGAACTCACAAGAGGCTTAAGAATTAGAAAAGAGAGGGGGAAAAAAGAATTAAAAAGTAAGAACTATCTTGAGGTGAGAGTATAGCTGGACAACCCTAGAGAATCAATGGCAAGACTAAACTATTGAAAACGGTTAAGTCATAAAATACTTCTGCAAGGTGGCACACTGTAAAATGAAGACAGAAGTCAATAGTTTGGGGGCATCTGGGTGGCTCAGTGGTTGAGCGTCTGCCTTCAGCTCAGATCGTGATTCTGGAGTCCTGGGATCCAGTCCCACATCGGGCTCCCCGCAGGAAACCTGCTTTTTTCTCTGCCTATGTCTCTGCCTCTGTCTCTCATGAATAAATAAATAAAATATTAAAAGTCAACAGTTTTTATATACACAAACAATAACCAGAAGACATGATGGCAGAGAAAATACCGTTTATAATAGTAACAAGGAAAATCTGATAATTAGGTATAAGTCTAACACAAAATGTGTAAAACCTGTATGGGGTAAACGGCAAAACACTCCCACACAAAAGCCATAAAAGATACTTGATCAAATGGGAAAACACCCTGGTCAAATTGTGAATTTATAAATTAGACAAGTTGATACTGAAGTTCAGCTTCAGTTCTCATGGAAACCTAAACGAAAGAAGAGCTAGAAACAAAGAAAAAGAAAAGCTACAATAAGAAGCCTACCTCCCATATTAAACTATCCGGTGAAACTTCCATAAATAAAACAATGAGGTCCTGGCACATGAATATACTGACAAGAGGAACAGACTAGACTGTCCAAAAATAGGCCCGGGACTGCATCACAGACGTAGTAGCAGCACAGCTCACCCCACTGGAGCAAAAAATCAAGTTTTCAGTAAATGAGACAACTGAGTAGCCACTTAGAAAAAGATAAAATGAGATCCATACTTTGTATCATTCACAAGAATAAAGTGCAGATACATCAGAAGTCTAAATGTAAAACATGAAACCATACACATCCCACAGAAAGGCATGGGATGCTATATGGCTGCCAAAAAAGAAAAAAAGAGACTGATATGAATCGATATGGAGCAACTTTAAGGATATGCTGTTACGTGAAAGAAAAAAAAAAAGCAAAGTATACATAGTATACATACATAAAAGAAGGAGAAATAAGATAAATGTACATATATCTGTTTATTTTTGTTTATTTGGTTTCGGTGGTTTGGGGTTATTTTTCTTTGCAGTTGTGCATTTGCATATCTCCCCTCCCAGCCTGTGTGTTGTTGTCATACATTTTGCTTTCACATATGTTATACGTTCCACAACACGCTGAATCATTTTGCTTCAACCGTTTTTTTCGAATTTCGTTTTAGCTGAAGTATAGTTGATATATAATATTATATTAGTTTCAGGTGTACAACATAGTTTCGACATCTGTATACATTGCAAAATGCTCACCACCATAAGTGTCCTTACCATCTGTCACCTTATAAATGATTACGGTATTATTGACTGTGTTCCTATGCTGTACTTTACAGCCCTGTGACTTACTTATTTTGTAGCTGGAAGATTGTGTTTCTTAATCCTCTTTACCTATTTATATCTGCTTGTTAAAAAAGAAAAGAAAGAAAGAAAGAAAAAACAGGAAGGATCAGAAACCAGTAAGATCGGTTACCTACAGAGGGCAGGTGGGAATCAAACACTTCTCCATTTATAACTTTCTGGACAGTTTTGACTTTTGGAACCATTTTAATGCTTTATAGATTAAAAAAAAAGAAATGAAATTAACAAAGAGGGCAGTTGAACCCTGAAATAGAAAATAAACAGAAACAAATCAACCTTACTGTACCTTAAATAACATAACTTCTCTGAAAAGTTTCTCTGGGGAATGAACCTTAGAAACTTATGAACACGGTAATTTTGGACAGCTTTATTGACATGACTTAAACTACAGATATTTTGGGATGCCTGGGTGGCTCAGGGGTTGAGTGTCTGCCTTTGGCTCAGGTCATGTTCCAGGGGGCCTGCTTCTCCCTCTGCCTGTGTGTCTCTGCCTCTCTCTCTCTGTGTTTCTCATGAATACATAAAATAAAATCTTTTAATAAAAAAACTCCATAGATATCTAAAGTGTACAATACGATGATTTTTGTCATATGAATATAGCTGTGAGCAGAGTATTTTGAATATGCGCCCTCAATCTAAAGACAGAAAGAACTGTAAACAAATACTAAACTCTATTAGCAGTTTGGCTTTCCACAGTGGTTTGGGTTGGATAGTGGAGATGAGCAAATGACTAAATATATCAAAGAGAATGAATAGATTAGAGAAGGAAATTACAAATCCAGAATAGGAGAGAGACTAGAATTACTTAGTGGCAGATTGCAATCAAAGTTAGAAGTATAAACCCATAGTTATTAGCCTAAATACAGAGACATCTAGACTGTGTACAAGACAGAAATGTTTATTTGGAGGAAATGCTAGCAATTACTGAATT